TGACAGACCCCTTGTGCTCGTGCCCCGTTTCAAATGTTCAGAAATTGTGGAACCTTTAATTAAACGGTGGCCTAAAATATGCAAACGAGTCGAGACCGACGCTCGACCGTATGCCAAGTCCAAGTCCAAGTCATAACTCATTTTCTTTCCTTTTTTTCTGTAGCGGGGCTACACCACACCACACCAGCCCATGGGCCACTTTGCATACTAAACGGCGCACGCCCCACTTTCAACGCATGCCGAAGACGCGTCTGCAGCAACGACGTCTTTCTCGTCTTCGTTGTCGTCCTTCGGGCGCTTTTTCGGCAGTCAGGTGGGAGTGACCATGGAGTTTTTTTCTCTCTCTTTATTTTTTTTGGTGCGCTACCGAAAGTCTCCAGGTTTTTCGCTTCAGCAGATTTGCATGCGCCAGTAGAATTTTTTGATTATGCCTTCGAACCGCAAGAAACTCATTTAAAATCGATTTATGCAAGGATTAAGATTCACAGAGAGAGACAGAGGAAGAGAGAGAGAGAGAGAGCGAACCTCTTGCCCCTGTGGCATGTCCATCATGTTGGCTACAAGTTAAGAAATTAGTAAAACTCATTTTTGCATTTTTAGCCTCCGGGCTTAAACTTAATTCGGAAGCACAGCAGGAGGTTCTAAGTAAATAAATGTGCCTACCCGGCCTCCATTCGTTTAATTTGCATTTTATTGCACCGGAGCCACTCGGATCACGAGGCTCACGAGGTCTGGGGGAAGTCTCGAGCCAATTAAGCGTATATTTGCCACGCTTTACAGCTTTCGACAGCAATCTTCCTGCTGTTGCGTTGCTTTGCGTTGCGTTGCGTTGCGTTGCTCTACTTTGGGCAGGCGCAGCTAAAAATGATTAAAGGCCATCCCGATCCAGACAGCCGTTTATATTAATTTCGCTTTGTGTTCCGAGCACCATCGCATCTCCACTCACAACAGCCCTGAGAAATTGAAAGTGAATGCCGGGCAGCAGGAAATGAGTTGCCAATAGAATAATCATAATGCACCATAGGGGGTGGACGATCCACCTTAATCGGGCCTAAGCTTCGCACACAGTCTACCGGCAGGGTAGTCCAGATATACATACACTTCATTCCATATCCGGCTTACCCACGGCAACCTAAAGGTAGAGCTGAATGTATTCAGTAAAAGGGACAACTATAGATGGGTTCAATTAATGTTAGAAAGCAAACTCAAACAAAAGCTAAAGAAACCTTAAGAACTAAGATATTTATATGTGGTATATTACTTTAAGAGGAACAATCTTTGAGTTCAATTCTATGTATATTAAGGAGAAGAGTGTAATGAATGGAATTGCTTAAAACTTCATTTGAAAGAAATTTGGGATACGAATTCTTGACTTTGTATCTGGTTTTCTCTTTTTTTCTCTCTATCTTTTTCTTTCGGTGATCTATCACTACCCCTTTCCAATTTGCAGTCTCTCTATTCATCTTATTTTCTCTATTTATTTATCTTAACAAATATCTCTATCTACCTCTATAATTATTTCAAGCTTATATCTGGATTTCCCTTTCTTTCCGTCTCGTATTCGCTTTCTCTCTCTCTCTCTTCTCTCTCTCTCTCTCTTCTCTCTCTCTCTCTCTCTCTCTCTCTCTCTCTCTTCTCTCTCTCTTCTCTCTCTCTCTCTCTCTTCTCTCTCTCTCTTCCTCTCTCTCTTCCCTCTCTCTGTCTTTCTCAATCGCTCTCACTCAGCCTACTTTTTTATTTATATATATCCATCTCTCTGTTCCTCCCACTCTTTTGCTCCTCTCCCAAAGCCCATTGCTAGATAGATGTATGTCAAACATGACTATGCTACGATATCTTATCCCAGTTCTGTGTGAATACAATTTGAAGTTTTTGTGTTTAGGTTTTTGCTTACGCTGGTGTCGATGTTGACCCAATGCGAATGCGAATGCAAAATTGAAATTTATTTCTTTCTCACGTAGTCGCCTCTGTCATTAGCTCAATCAGAGAAACGTTAAATCGCGTGCATCAATTTGGCCATTTAGGCATTTGGCCAATGAGCACGAATGGCGCCCCATTCGGCAACCGATGCCAATTCAGATTCAGATGCCGAGAGCAGAGTCATCGGAACAAGTCGGACACATGTCCACATCGGACTGATGTCCATGCCAAACGTTCAGCGATGCACAGCGAAATGCTTTGCCTGTCACTCAGCTGGTGAGTGTTTCGAGTACGGGGGTCGAGCACACTCTCACATCATTCAAGCAGTCAGGCAGTCCGCTAGCCAGTCGATGCAGCCACTCAATAATTCGGCAGTCGACGTACACTTCCTTCTACTTCTGACCCAACCGACAGCCGCGAGAAAATTGCAACAATTTTCCATTGATGTTGTTGTTTGTTTCATTACGATTTGTAGCTCAGTTTGTTTGCAATTAATTGACATTCGCAATGCCCAGAATCGCAATCGAGAGTCTGAGCCGCTCTTATTTGGCCCGGCAAATTATATTGAACTGATTCCCACGACGCTTTTGGCCAGATGGCTTCGATTTGATTTCAGTCCGTCCTTAGCTGATTTTCTTGTTGTTTCTGGTCGAAGGCATGCAAATCATTCACGGAATGTTTGAGGAGGGGCTAGCACAATTGTTTCACGTTCACACTGTTCGGCTTCGGTTCGCCTCGGTCGGTTAGTTGATTCTGGTTCAGTTTTACTTGGTCGTAAATCACTTTCACAGCTTTTATAAATTGAATAAGTCTCTTTTTGATTGGGAAGGTGTTAGAGATTGAGTAAGGCACGTTTAAAGATATGAAGTGGCATGAACTGGGTATGAAGATATAATGCATATTAGTTCAGAATTGCGTGAATGAAAGTTGCAAAGGATATGGACTGCTTTTCAGGTAAGGATTCTATAACTTTTTTTGCTATGAACTTTTTTCTATTTTACCAAATTATTGCATGAAGGATTGAAGCTAAAGCTGTTGGAATATTTTAGAATATATTATTGGCCTATCCTAAAAAAATCCTCAAGTTATTGATATGTCGATTTAGCTTTTTAAAGAACTATATAGATAGGTAAAGTCAGCTCAAAATTCAAGGTACTGCCTCTAACAATTTAATTTCAAGTAAATCAAAGTGCGACTTGCACAAGCCTGTCTTCCTCCTATTCTATTAACAACTCATTAGGCTGAACTTCTCCGATTTGTAGACACTTTTTATTTGCCCAAGATCTTTGACCATGCGCCAGCTCATTTGTTGTTTGCTCACTCGGCTCAAGAACAATGTCAATACACAACAACAACAACAATAACAACGACAACAGCAGATCTCAAGTGTCTTAAAAATTGATCAACGGCACGGATCAAAGAGCAAAATATTAATATTTCCTAATCCATTGTAATTATGATTTCTCCCTCATTGTTTGTCACAAGAAACGTTGCCTTCAACAAAAAAGCAGCCGGCACAAGGCCCGAGGCCGTTTTTTCTTCTTGTTCAATAGATCATATTACCAAGTGAATATGTCAATTCCTCACGAGAAACGATAAGAGATCTGCGTCACAGCTACGAAAGATAAAAAGAGAAGAGAACTGTAAGGCAAAATCCCCAAACACTAATTGTAACGGCTGTGCGTGCCAACCACAAAGTCGACTACCAGGCCGCCTATTTCAACAGAACTGACAAAATACAACAAAAAAGAGCATAAAAATAATGATAGTAGAGAGGAAGAGAGAGGCAGGGCAGAGGTAGAGAAGTAGAGAAGTGAGGCAGCGCCTAATCTGGGCCTGCAACAGGGATTAGTTGGTCCAATCAGCGGCAACGCCTGCGGCTAATGAACAGCGGCTGCTGCCACTGCCAACTGTTACCAGGAACTCGGGCACCGGGCACCGGGCACAGGGCATCGAACAACTGGGAACTCGGCTAACGCCCCTGGTAATTACTCGTACCAATAAAAAGTCACGCCAAACAATGCCAATGGATTCGGGTCTCCAGGGCTCCAGATCTTCGATAGGCGATCTTATCAACTGCCATATAAGTGTGTTATGACTTTTACTTTTCTTTGCTTTGGCTTTGGCTTTGGCTTTGGTCTCGCGCCGCACCAAATCAAAGCAGATTATAAACTCGATCGGAAAGATGACAAGCGGCCCAGCAATCAAAATCAAATTATGAGACAGCAATCAATAATTTGACACGACAAACCACAGATACAGATACAGATACAGATGCAGATGCAGATACACATGCGGATAGCTGCTGAGATCTCACACTGAAAACAACTCAATGGAGGTTTGCTATTTAAAGAGTTCCATGTAAAATAGCAATCTAGATACCTTAATATATAATTTTTAGTTTTTTCGAAAATGAATTGGCTTGATACACAAAAAATGTATTGTGGTTGACAACATTTTCTTGAGGCTAAGTTGACTTGACCATCTTCTTTCCCTGTATCATTAAATAGAATATTTATTTACTTTTGCGTATGCTTGCTAAAGAACCGAATCTGGGCCATTCCTAAATATTTTTGTATGTTTTCAATTTCAATGATAACCTGAATAATAAATGAACTAAATTAGATTAGACTTTGGTTTAAGATTGAATTTATAGCAGCAAATAAAATAGGAGCTCCTCATTATCTTCACATATATCTCCATAATTATCTATATCTCTTTCTGGCCTTAAGTTAAGATTGAATTTATAGAAGCAAATTAGGTAACAAAATCAGGAAGCTAACCTTGAATACATATTTATATAACAGATTTGTTACAGACTTCAAATCTCAATATATAGCTCATTGAGTTCAGCCCGAAACCAGGCTTAAAGCTAACAAATTCTTGATTTCCCCCTGAATTGGCATTGGAAGACAGGCGAGGGCGAACAATTGTGAACAGTTCAAAAACAATATACAGTTGCAGTCTCTTTTCACGTATAATGCATAAACCATAAGATATCAAACTAATCCTAATTAAGAACATATTACGAAAACACAATTTCTTTTCAATAAATATCACAAATTAGTTCTGTCTCTGAAGTCGTCATTTACGTTGCTGTATTTTTTTTGGCTTCTTCCTCTTTCTCGAACTCCTCAATGCGTCTCTCCAGGACATCTACATCCAGCCACATGAGGGAGGCAGTGTGCCAGCTGGGCGGCGGATCGCTATTGATTTCGTCGAGCAACTTCTTCAGTCGCACTCGATCCGCATCGATGGCCATCTTGCGCCGCTTTAGCACTGTGGACTTGAGGGCATCCAAGGGCGAGTCGCACTTACCACGCTTCAATCCGATCTTTTGAGTCTGACACGCCTTGTTTTTAGTACCCCGTTTCTGCAGCTCCGGAGCAGCCGCTTCCTCATGCAGCTCCGACTTCTTCTGCTGCTGCAGCTGAGCTACCCTCGACGCTGGCCTTGCTGATATCCTCGTTTGCACACCATCATCGGCATTAAGTGCACTGATCGGTTCAGTTTGTGTGTACGCTGAACTAGTTTTAATTATTTTAGCTGGCTTTGCCTTGGCGTTAGTGGAACGCAGAAGATTTGTTATAGTCGCGTTCTGATGAGCTTTACGCTTCGGCGGCTCCATCGAAATGATTCAACCTGAACGGAAAGAACGTATCCTTGTCTAGTACGAACAAAATAGTTTATATAATATATTTACCGAAATCCTCGAGACTCAATTTGTAAGATTTGATAATACTTCTCGCACTGAAGACATAGAACTGAATGTAAGTTCAGTTTTCCGTGCGTGTTTCATTAAGTTGACAGGAAAAATATCAAGGCTAACCTGATGCACTAATGTTATAAGAATTTTGTATTTTCTCAGTTCTATCTACATAAGATTATGTTATGCCTTTATTCGGAATTTCGAATAGCGAAATAGAATCTTACAACTCAGTTCAAATTTATAAATTTACCTCTATGAAATTTTCAAATATTTATACAAATTTCTTTGACATTATTAAAAATCAATTCGTTTATATTGTTATATATTTTATATACTTTATTTTAATCTTCATTACATTTTAATCTTCATAACATAATTCCATCTGGTATCCATATTTTGTACTGAAATACAGATAAATATAATCAGCCCATATATGTTTATAATTTACCTTCAATTAAGTGCGTGTTCCGTTATATCTCAGCCTGTATAAGTATATATATATATATATATACATATCGTATATATATTTGTAAAACTTTGCGACATTTTGTTTAGCTCATGGTTTTCAGCGAAGTTTGTTGTGCTCCGCTGGCCTGTGCCAGTCCCTGTTCCTGTCCAAGTCCCGCTGCCTGCTGCCCGCTGTCCGCTGCCCGTTGCCGCGCATGTTCCCTGCTATGTACAACATCAAGTTTTATCGCTGATCGTGATCATGTAATTCCAACCCACGCATGCGCGCACAGCGTTAAGGAATCAAGTTTAGCGCATTCTTATTGCCGATCTGAATGCGCGCCTTTCCCTGTGACAGATGGTGTAAGGCTGCAAGGCATTCCCGTGCCCAGACCCAAGCCCAGACCCAGGCCCAGGCCCAGGCCCAGATGCAGACGCAGCATCAGGCTCAGAGTCAGAGACGGAGAACGGAGCCCGAGCCGAGAGTCGACTGGTTTTTCTTTCCTTTGCTAGCCGAACGTTCTATATATGTAAACTGGTACTTGAAATTTGAAATCATGTACCATTTGCCTTGAGACGCAGCGCCTGAGTGGCCTGAGTTGGCTGAGTTGGCTGAGTTGGCTGAGTCGCCAGCGCCTGGATGTGGATCTGATCGTCGATCGTGTCCCTGACAGAGCGGCACAGGAAACGCGCATTTAAAAGCGCGACTATCGAAATATAACGACATTAAGCTGCCTCAAAGTAAGATAGAAGGAGATAGAGTTTGTCAAAAACGGGGGGGAGAGAGAGAGAGAGCCAGAGAGGAAGCAGAAGAGCCATTTAAAGGAAGCTTGTGTCAATACGAAATACGAAATACGAAAATACAAAAGCCCCATGGAGTTTGCCTTGGAATGCAGTCGATCGCTGCGATCGCTGCGTTCGCTAATCTTTTGAAGGCGCCGACGCCGCCAAGATCATCATAAGCGAACGTTTGGGCGCACTAAGCGACATAATTGCTACCGTGGGATGAGGCAGCCAGAGACTGTGGACTGCTGGCGTAGAGTCGCCTGCTTCGCGAGCTCAGGCGCAGGCTCAGTGCCCGATCATTACCAGACGCGCTCCTAATGCGCTCCAATCAAACACACACGAAACGAGCGTATGACATGTTTGTGCATTATTAATCATGATAATATCTGTATAAATGGTAGAAAAACTGTGCAGTTGCTCCGCTGCCCACAAAGCTCGCTGGCCAAATTGCAATTTAATGCAAAAATAAATTGCAGCGCCGACTGCAAACGTGAAGCTTGAACTGAAGCTGACCAACCGGCAGCCGGAGCAGGCAGCTCCCATGATTATTGGTCATTTACTTGCGCCGTTTAGCGCATTAAAATTCATGCAGCATCCCAGCATCCGAGCGTCGCTCTGCTGCTGACTCTGACTCTCAGTCTGACTCGGCGAGTCCCACAGTTCGACTTTTATGCATACAGAAATAATTGACAGTTGAAAACTTGAACGTGTAAGCGTAGACCCAATCCCAACTTGGCGTCTGACTCTTGCACAATTCTGGGCGTTCGACTTGCAGCTGTGATTCTCTCTGTGTCCGTCCTTCTTCGTATCCCTGCAACTGCAACTCCAACTCCAACTGCAACTGCAACTGCATCTGCATCGGCATTTACAGCTGTGGGGCGTGTGCTTTGCTCGCTGGAGCAGCGGCTGCAGCTGCAGTGGGGGGCACACATTCGTTGGGGGTAGCGCCTAGGGCCCCATGAAATCAACGCGTTCGCTAATGGGCAACAGCTAGCAGGTTATTACACTGCGAGAAATTTGTGGACGCTGATCTGAAGAGGGCATATGAACAGATCAATTTTAATTGTGTAAAGAGTTTTAATAATTATTATATTAATTATTATTATATATTATTGAGAATAATTTCATTAGTATAATTTTTATTTCTAGATCTGAAACTGCAGCTCCTTTAAAATTTACAAATTTAGCATTTATAAAATTAAAGCATTTTATAACGAAGTTATCCTCATACAAGTTTCTTATATTACAACCTATTATAAAATTTAGCATAAAAACTAAAAATATCTTAATTTTTAGTATGATGACAGTTTTTTACTCTTGCATACATAAAATCTAGTATTTTCAGTCAGTAATAGAAATTGTGCGACTTAGTTGAACTTTTGTAAAGCTAGAAGTTGCAGAGTTTAGTTCTATATCATAAAAACTGATGCTATAAAGAGGTGCCTATAACAAATACTTATGAGTTCTACCTACTTCCTACTTTAACTATATTTTACTACGACTATTTATATATTAATTACTATTTCTACTACTACTACTTTTACACTACTAACTACTACTATTACTACATAAACTTTTACTACTTTTCCTACTACTATTTCTACATTAACTACTACTTTTAATAGTACTACTTTTACTACTACAGCTGTTACTACTAATGCTACTACTATATATTTTAATACTACTTCTAATGCTTATGCTATTATAAATTCGACTGCTACTACTACTTGATGGTACCTCTACTACTTCTACTTCTACTGCTACTACTACTTCTTCTACTACTAGTACTACCACTCTTTTTTTATTAATTATATAGATAAGCCAGGAAATCATTGGCAGACCATACAATAACCATAATTTTAACCTTGAAATTAGTTTAATAATTACTTAAAAATTCCTTTGCAATTTTCAACATTTACTTAATCAATCAAGAATATTCATTTAATGAACTTGTTTTAAATTAAAATTGAAAGCGAATCAATTGACTCGAACTGAATGTTTATTCCTATTCTACATTAATCCCAAATCAAGTCCCTGGCTATGCGCGCGGCGTCGGCAAGTGCAAGCAACGACTTTAACTATCGCTCAAGGCTATCAGCGATTTGTTCAGATCTCTCAAGCAAGTTCTGGAAACAGGCCCCGTGCCTGAATTTGGGCATACAAATAAAGTGATATACTACATAATTGCAATAAAAATAAGAAAGAAAGAAAGCAAGAAATTAAATATCAACAAGACACAGGAGAAAGATGACAATCAGAAAGAAATGGAAAAAAGTGAAACTCATAAACAAATGCAACAACAAAATTGCCAAAGCTAAGTAAATAATCAAACAAGAAATGGCAAATTATGTGCACAGCAACAGCAACAGCAACAACAGCAACAGCAATAACAGCAATCGCAGCGATTACTTCTAAAGCAATTGCGAAAGAACACCCACTCAAAAATAAGCGTTTGCCATATTAACAACAACTGCGAGCGCCAATAACCGGTTAGCATTAGTTGCATATGTGTGTGTGCGTGTGAGCGATCGCGCTCTCTGCAGTGTGTGTGTGCGTGCTCAAGAGATGGCAGCGACGAAACGTGTTTCGTGTCCAGCTACTAGCACCTGGCTGTATTGCACTCACGCGTGCTCTCACTCACAGCGCGCGCTCTCTCTCTCGCTCTCTCTCTCTGCGCGCGCTCTCTCTCTCTACGTTTCTCTCTCTCTCGATCATTGGCCTGTTGCGCTCGTGCGCTCACTCAGCTGGCTTGAGCCAGTGAAGTGTGCTGGGCGCGTGTATTAGTGAGAGCCGCTTTTTTGGTCAGGCGAAACGGCAAACGGCAACAAGTGAGCGCAGGTCCAGGTCCGCGCGCCGCTCGCAGAGCAATGGACTTTTAGTTATTCCGTGATCTTTTACCAATATTGTGCAGCGCACACGGCACGACGGCTGATCGCAGAGCAACAGCAACAACAGCAGCAGCAGCAGCAGCAGCAAATCCGCCCCTGGTTTCAATAAATACAAATCATACGCACATAAATATATATATTTATTAACGGAAGTGTCAAACGGAAATTGATCATTGAATTGCAAAACAAAAAACGAAAAAAATAAACAATTCTCTAACGGTGCCTCTTGAAACTTTCCTATCGCAAAACGTTCTGTGACAATAACGCCCACAATATCAAATCGTTGTTGTTTTCTTTTGTGGGCAAGCTTTGAAGCTTTTGAGGCGCGTGTGAGACGTCATTTGATCCACTCGCTGGAAGTGTGCCTTCGCCTCCCCCAACCCCATTCGTGCTCTTCTTGCGGCGGCTGTTGTTGTTGTTGGTGTCGTTGTTGTCATTCAGTGTTTGTGTTTGTTGTTTTTAGTTTGCCCTGTTTGCCGTTTGGAACGTCAAATTCGATTTTTATGACTTTTGAAAGCGTGACTAAGGCGTGATTTATGATGGCGTGTGGTTTTTAATATTCATGTGCAAAGTCAAAAGCCACGAACCAAGCGCAGCAGCAACCACTAGCCAGCCAGCCACACTCAACCTGCGTAGGTGCGCCAAACAATAAAAATACAACTACAACAACAGCAACAGCAACAACCATAACAACAACAGCTGAAAGCCCAGCACCGATAACCGGACAACAACAGCAGCAGGCGTTGCATCTCTGGTGCCCACGGGCCAAGTTGCTGGCTCGATATCCTGCTGTGTGTGCGTGGATCAGTGGATCAGTGTTTTGGGCTTTTTATGGATGCAGCGAAGCAATTGACTGCCGCTGCTGCAGCTGGCAAGCACGATAACAACAACAGCACCAGCAACAACAACAACAACAACACTATGCAAACATTGCAACAACAACAAGGTAATACAAAAGCAGAAGCAGCAACTGCCGTAGACGCGTGCAATACGTCAGAAGCGCTAGAAACGACAGCAGCAACAATTGCAGTTAACAAAAGCAGCAACAAGCAGCAAACCGTTATGACAACAGCAACAACAAACGTTGAGCAACAGCTCAAAAAGACCGAAGTTCAATCAACAACAACAACAACAGCAGCAGCAGGCAAAGCAGCAACAGCAACAGCGACAAGCGCAACATCAGCAACAGTTGCTGTCGCCAGCAAATCCAGTGCAGCAGCAATGGCCGCTGCAACAGCAACAGCAGCAGCAGCCACCAATGATTTGGCAGCAGCTGCTGCCGTCGTATTGTCGCTACAAGGCACCATGGTCAGCAGCCTGCAGCAGGCGGCACTGCTGCCGGCCAACTCAGCAGCAGCAGCAGCGCTCAACTTGCAAGCGCTCGAATCCTATTTGGCGCTGCAGCGACTCACGGGCAAATCGGATGTGTTTCGATTTAGTAGCAGCAGCAACAGCAACAGCAATAGCAACGGCAACAGCAGCAACAGCGGCAACAGCAACAGCAGCAACAACAACAGCGATGCAGAGCAGAATGCAACATTGCCAGCACTCATCGATATTTCAAGTATTGAGCTGAAGTCCAGCAGCTCCTCCAGAGCTTCAAGCGTCTCCGCAGCTGTGGCTAGCTCACCCAGCAGCAACAACAACAATAGCAACAACAATAACAACAGCAATAGTAACAGCAGTAACAACAATAACAACAACAGCAACAACAACAACAACAACAACAATAACAACAGCAGCAACAGTAACAACAATTGCTCTTCAAGCACATCCAAGTGCATTCCGCCGCTGCCCTCAATTAGCACTGTGAGCGCCGCTGTGGCCGCTGCTGCTGCTGCTGCCGCCGCTGCAGCCAATCAGCAGGCGGCGTTGGACTGTGCCACAGCCGCCGAGCTGGCAGCCGAATGCGATTTGCCGCTGCTCGACGGCGAGGATGCATTGTCCTTTGAGGCTGGTGATCTGGACAGCAGCTACGGCAGCTTCATCTTCAATCCGAGCAGCTTCGGCGCCGCAGACACGGACACTTCGCTGCACTCGCTGCAGGCCACCATGTACCAGGACAAGCTGAGCGTCATAGCGGCCAGCGCTGGCAGCGGTGCAGAGGATGCGGCCAATAGCTCAACGGCCGCCGCAGCTGCTGCTCAGCGCTCCAAGAAGCAATTCATCTGCAAGTTCTGCAATCGCCAGTTCACCAAGTCCTACAATCTGCTCATACACGAACGCACCCACACGGACGAGCGTCCCTACTCATGCGACATCTGCGGCAAGGCCTTCAGGCGTCAAGATCATCTGAGAGATCACAGGTGAGATAAGAGGAAGCATCCATTTATCTGTGTGAGGGTATTTGTGTTTGTGGAGGGGCAACAGAGATAAAGCTTGTTGCTCGATTTTAGCTTGACAAAAGTATTTCACAACCTAACGAAAGTATTTCATAACTTAACGAAAGTATTTTGTAACTTAACGAAAGTATTTTGTAACTTAACGAAAGTTTTCGTGAATTGCCGAAAGCATTTTAAAACTTAACGAAAGTTTTTTCTTAACTCAACGAAAGTTTTCAAAACTTAACGAAATTATTTTCTAAATTTCACATATTTTTATTAAAATCAAGTTCAAATTTTAATTATATTTTGTAACTTTTTCTTAACTTAACGAATGCATTTGATCATTCATCTATCTTCATCTAGTCGCATGAGACTTAACGTAAATTTAACGTAACACAATTTGAGCTTAACTTAACGAAACTTTTTCCAAATTGGCAAACATATAATCTATCAGACCAACGTAGTTTCCGCTTTAATTCTTGAAATTTTCAAGTTAATTTGGCTCGAGTTAGGAAGAATTTGCCTAACTTAAGCTAGTTCAAGCTGAACAATCTTCAAAGCAGAATTATATTTAGTTTAGCTTAGTTAAAGACTAATTTCAAGTCAGCTCTTACTAATACTTTATCTCCCTTCCATCTTTTACCTTCCGCCCTTAGATACATTCACTCCAAGGAGAAGCCCTTCAAGTGCGCCGAGTGTGGCAAAGGCTTTTGCCAGTCGCGCACCTTGGCCGTGCACAAGATTCTGCATATGGAGGAGTCGCCACACAAGTGTCCCGTGTGCAACCGCTCCTTCAATCAGCGCTCTAATCTGAAGACTCATCTACTCACCCACACGGATATTAAGCCCTACAATTGTGCCTCCTGCGGCAAGGTGTTTCGGCGCAACTGTGATCTGCGGCGCCACAGCTTGACGCACAATCTGTCGGCCACGGGCGGCATGGCCGGCGGCTTGGGCGATCTCTTTGGCAGCAGTAGCAACGGTTCCAGCTCCGATCTGGGTCTGTCGATGGTACTGCCGAGCTCAACCGGTGCCAGCTCAACAGGTTCAAGCACAACCCGCGACTTGGTGGCCGTCAGCGATTAGGCCGCTGGCAACTCCAGCTCAACTTATCACGTGTTGTGACTTCCCCGTCTCCCAGGCAGGCGAAGCGCTATCTCAATCTCATCTGCAGCTCTCAAGAACTCGAATCCCTCCACAATGTGTCTGATCTGTGTTGCTCGTCTCGTGGCCTCCAAGTTGCTTACAGCTAACAGCATTTAATATAGTTTCTAGTTTCCTTATGTCTAAATTATGATTTAAGCTAATGCTACTTCTAGTTGGTAATTTATTGGATATTTGAGATATTTGAATAGAAATATATCGAAAGTTTGACTTTATTTGGATATATAAATATAATACATATAGACATATAAGTAATTTGTGGACTTTTATCGTATTATCGAATAAATGATATAGTTTAATGGAAATACTTCAATTTAAAGTGTTTTATTTCATGAGATCTATTTGGGTTTAGCTGAGAGAGCTTGTTTACAGAGGCAACTGGTGGCTTACCTTGTGTGATCTTTCACTTTTGGGATGGGAAATTTTAGAGGCAATAAAAATTCTGCTGATCAACTTCTCTACATATTTTAAGGAATAACAATTCGAGATCTTTGACTTACGATCATTAATAATAAAATTTTATATAGTTTTTCAAAATTTATTTAGTCAACAAAACTTGGAGTATTCTTATAGCAGTTCAGGAACTTTACATGTGATTATTCAAGGTTCTCTATTGCTAGATTATTATTGAAAATTACAAAGAATTTATATAACCCACAGCTCAAAGAAAGTGCTGAAGTAGAAAGAGTTAGCTTCTCAGAAATAGGCCACATCTTGGGAAAAGGAAATGAGTTAACAGGACTTCCATCTAGTATGAATTTCCAGCGTATTCTCGAGTGTTCACAGTGCTTCCTGTTCGCGGGGCAATCTGACCTCGTTAACATGCCGCCCACACAATCGAGCATGGCCTGGTCTCATCACAGTTCTAGTTTCTCACATGTAGTGACACTGTTTGCACACTTGTAGCGCAACGAAAGAGAAATCAAATATTTGTAGCGATGCTTATCGCTCGAGTGCCAACAAGGGCAATTAATGTACCATTAAGGTATACACTCTCTGGGCGAACAAGCCTTTGACAACTGAAACGACATGAGACATGCACTGAGACAAAGCGACTACTCGACTATTTTCCCATCGGTTGCCTTTGGCCTTATCGCCTAGCCAAACAATGTCGAACAAGCCAATGACATGAGTTGTGGAGCAGGCGCTATTGCTGCGCCGCCCACCCAGATGAATGAATGCCAACTCAACTGGCAGCTGTCCTCTTTGCCACAAAGTTAACAACTTTTTATGATCGACTACGAAAAAAAAAAAAAACAAAAAAAAAGAAAAGACAGAAAAGATGCGTCCAACTTTGGCCAAGTTCAAAAGCGTAAAGCCGACCAAGTCGACAACTGTCCATCTCGCTCAGTCTCGGCCATATTGTTGTCTCTAGCGTTAAGCGGATCAATGTGAAGCCGCCAACAAACGACGTAGTTATGCATTTCCTGCACAAACCAATTACAACGATCAAACAACAATTATGGTGCTACAGCTCTTGACCAGCTCCGCCTCATGCCCTCTTCTGTTGCTGTGCGACTGTGGCAACAACGGCAACAGTTAAACACGCGCCTTGCTCTCCGCAAATATTTGCGCGGATATTGTTCTATTCAATGGAACAAGCACGAGAACGAGACATGTTCCAGCACCAACAGCGACAACGTTTTGGGCCATTAGCCAAAGAGCTAAGCAGACTCCAGCTCCAGTCCGGGAGACTGCAGACTGCTGTCCGAAGACTTGGTTACAGTTCGAAGCAGCGTCTCTGCGAATTGCCAGCAATTTCACACTTTATGCGCGACGGCTTCATTTCCACTCCACGGAGCCACAGAGCCGCAGCTCTGCGATGGGAGCAGCAGGCGGCGCGTGCGGGCGAGCGAGCGGATGTTTAAACATTTAACGCTCTGCCTGTACCTCGGACCGTTGCCGTATATATTGATGGGAAAATTATGAAATTCATTGTTTGTGTTTGACTAATAATTATGACAGCAAACGCATTGTCGTCATAAAGACGCCCCTCCGGCCGTTGGGCACTAGAAGTGAGCGCACTAAATTTTGCTTTGAGGTTTCCGCAACGCCCCATTGACAATGTTAGTGCTGGCTGGGACGCCATACGTTCGTCCGTGCACTGACTAAACTCTAATAAGCCCATCACTAAAACAGCAACACAAGCGGCAGCAACAGCAGTTCGATTTGCGGCAACAACAACAATGTTGTGTCTAGTGTTTGAGGCGTGGCAACTTGGTTTGGTTTTGGTTTTGGCTTTGGCTTTGGCTTGGATTTTGGTTTCTTTGAAGTTGAGCTTGAAAATATTTTCGTTGTGCTTGTGAAATTTTGTTGCGTTTCCCGGAACCAACGCAAAAAAGCGGAACGTTCTACGTTGTTGTTGTTGGTGTTGTATTTGGGTGAATGTGAATGTAAATGTCATGCTCGTCTGGTCTGCTTTGGTGTGTTCTGCTCAGTTAGTGTGTCGGCACCATTTGCTTTATGATTTGATGTATGTGTGTCTGTGCCCGTGTCTGGAGGAGGCCCCACCAACCCGTCAGCAACTGACGGCACCTCAATAGGGAACGAATCCATGTTTGCACAGCGCTGATGTACGCTGCTCCCTCACCTTCAACATCTCCTGCTCACTCGGACCAAGTCCAGCCCAAAAGATCGCCGCTGGCGTTCCCATTTTTCCACCAACTTCGACTTCGACTTCGACATTCAGTTTGACGCGTTGCTGCGCCAACGTTTGACGAAACCTCAACGTAAATGTAAACGTAAATTATGCGGCGTTCCTGTGCCTAATTAGGTGTCGTATCGTAAATGTTTTTATATATTGGAGGCACACACACCACGTTAGCCGGCAGTCTTCCAAACTCGACTTAGCATCTCCTTCAGCCAGCTGAGCCCTTAGTTTTAGCCATGCCATATAATATTTAACAAGGAGTCTATTGGGCATACATATTTGGTTTGTTTGCAGATTGAGCGGGACAGCAAACAAGTGAACGGGGAGATGGGATTTCTCTTTGAATGAGAGAAGCTTAAATAGCTTGAGGCCTTTTAATAAATGATATATTTGATATTTTCAGTTAGTCTTACTCTTAGCTGACAGCTAAGATCTATGAACTCTATATATGTATAAGATATCTTCAGTTCCAGCTTTCTCTCTCTCTCTCTCGCCTTACCTTATCTAGTAACTAATCCCTTGTATTAAGTGAAAATTCCACTCATTTAATATAAATATTCCATCCTCTGATGATGCTCTGAAAAATTAAAAAAATTGAATTTCCTTAGAACACATTCACATAACCACAGATCCCTCTCAATGTATCTAAATCTTCTGCTTAGGTCATCTATTATTCCTACAAATTTAAATTTTATATGAACTGCGACAAAGGAATAACAGTTTTACTCTCTGTAATGCTTCGAGCAGCTTCAGCCTAGCTTTTAACCCATTTACATTTACAAGTATATCTCTCTTCTATACCAAACGTCAACTCTTCTGAAGACTTCCTTCAAATTGCCGACGCCAAACAGCCATAAAGTATGGTAAAAGCACAATTTCTGGAACTGGCAACTGGCCAGCTAGTTGAGCTCTTTGGAAACCAACTGCAACTCTATCGTTCAGAGAAGAAAAGCTGCCGAAACTCGTGCAAGTGAATAGATAGCCAATGCTTACGCAGCGCTCCAAGAGGTAATTAGATTTTATTGGACGGTGCGCGTTATGCCGACGGTATACCTGGCAAAGGGGGTAGCTGTCGAAGCCAAGCGGGTGTGTCACACAGTCTCGAGAATGCTGAGACTCCACAAATATATATATATATATATATATATATATATATATAGAATATATGTATATCTATGCATACCTTCTAGCTTTGTATGTACGCGTTAACTGCTGAGCCTTGATGCAGCCGACTCGGTCGTTCTTTTTTTATGGCACTTGGGGCGCAAATGCAAACAAATGCGACAAATGTTAAGCGAGTAAGTATTTCAAGTTGAGAGCAGTACAATATAATTGACAGGCAATGAGCTCTGCACTTTTTGGATGCCTGCTCTCTCTCTCCCTCTCCCTCTCCCTCTCCCTCTCCCTCTCCCTCTCCCTCTCGCTCGCGATCTCTTTGGCTTGTCAGTATTTGCCCAGGGCTTGTTTGACAAGTTCGCGGCACGTAGCACGGAGCAGTCGCCGCAACGAGTTGTGTACGACACATAATCATCAAACAGACCTTAGCAGAATAGAGCCCAACACTAACCACACTCACACGGCAGATAGTGCAGCGGCTTATCTCTGCCAAACAGAGCAAGAGAGAGAGTGAGCAAGAGAGGGAGAGAGAGAGTGGCTAGGGCATATATCTATATATATTTACTGGGTTATATGACTTTTCGGCGCTGATAAGGCCCGTTTAGCTCAGAGTTAGAGCCTGAGCTAGACGGCTAATTGACGGGGCCCGCGGTTAAATTAAAACGAAAATCATTTGAGCAGCAGCACCACCCAACTGCCGCCCCTTGCCCCCTTCATAGGTGCCCGTTGGCCCGAACTACCTCGGCGGCAGTCGGCATGATTAGAACCAAAAACAATCAAACAACACACACATCAAAGGCATTTCGCCGTCAATTTGTCATTAACGTCATAATATAGTGACAAGATTGCTTTGCACGGATATCGTCCGTGCCCCCAGCCCCTCTCTGCCTCCCTCTTTCTCTAGGTCTCTTTGAGTATTTGTCAACAAATATAGAGTTAAGCGTCTGTCTCTCTGGCCAAGGTGTTGTAATAGCCGCCCAGTTATAGTTGTTATTGTCGCAGTTGTAAATTTCCGTTCGCTCTCTCTGTCGCTCCTTCAGTTTGAATGCGATCTTCAAGTGAAAATGTGACATTTAAGAAATATTTTCGCCTTTGGGCTTTAGGACTGGTCCACAAACTGAATTGTGTGTGCTTAAGGATTAACAATGTGTGGGATTTCTTCAGCGTTTTCCATGTGAATCGTCGGCCCGCTCTTTGTGGCCCAGGCGCTTGTTTAGACAAGTGATTAATAGGCCATTAGTGAAATCTTTCTATTTACATATCAACTGCGCTGGCTAAAGAGCGGGCATATTTGAAGTAGGTTAGACGTTTCTAGTGCAAT